TAGAGTAAAACTCTGTAATTTGGGATCCAAGACAGGACTGTCGTTGGAGCAACTGGACTGGCTACGTGGGGGCAGTTGACGTTGGCTCCAGCTTCCACCAGCTGCCAATGCTTCTAAACTTAAAAATGGAGCAACAATGTTTAGGTCCTAACTTTTGGATGGTGGCTCAACTAAGTACTCTAGATGTGTGTGTGTGCGTGCATACAACATGTGTGTGCATGTTGTGTGTGGGAATGTGTGGGAATGTTTGGTAGGAATGCTAACTTTACCTTCACATACCTGGACCAAATCCTCAGAGCCCAGCTGTCGGCGGGGTGGACAGGTCCCAGGCTGGCTGGGGAGGGAAGGATAATGTCAACAAGCAGAGGTCAGACAGCCATCGAACCCCCGGCCCAGGAGTTTCCGTGGGCAGCACTTCCTTTGTGCACAAACATCTTAATCATGTTGTTGTCGGGTAAAGTGTTTTGGTCAGAGTGTTGACTGGGCAGTAACTCCTCTCCCAGCCGGTCCAGCAGCCACCCACGCTGTTTCCAGTTTCCTGCCGGACTGGGCCGAGTGCGGGGTTCAGGGCGCTCGTTGTAAACAGCATGAAACCTGAAGTTGCTCGGGGAGCTCTGGAGGGGCCAGGAGGGGTGGGAAGTGGGGGGAGAGGAAAGGCAGCCAGACCCCTAAGGCTTCTCTCCCAGAACTGAGCCAGGGACGAGGGTGGGAAGCGGCCCAGCCTCACACAGGGGCCTGGAGGCCGATCCTACATGACAGGGCTGGCTGTGCAGTGAGCACAACCTCACCGTCCCTACACCTTGTTCTGAAACTGACCTCAGCCGCAGAGGGAGATGTTGTCACCCTTTGACAATGAGCACCCAGGGCCAAGGAAGGATGAAGGCCCTGATCACGTGGCCCTAATGCAGATTCGGGGGCCCAGTCCCCGAGTCCACGCCCTTCACGGGGTCTCGGTGGCGGCCCTAATGCAGATTCGGGGGCCCAGTCCCCGAGTCCACGCCCTTCACGGGGTCTCGGTGGCGGCCCCAGCTGGCATGCAGTAGGCACTCAGTAAACGTTTGTCAGGGAGCTCGTGACGAGAGCTGCGGATGTGCCTGTGACCAAGGTCCACGCCCATCTCCCCGAGGACAGCCCTGACCTGTGGGGGCCGGGGTGCGGCAGGCCAGGGTGAGGGAAGGACGTCTGGGGCTTTGAGCCCCTCCAGCCATCAGAGCTGGTGCTGAGCCTCGGCCCGGCTCCTACTCCCAACCCCTTGGCCAACATGCCGAGGAGACAATCTCACTGGATGGAAATGGGAGGGAAGCTGGGGGACACCTTACAGAGGGTGTTGGGCATATGTTTACGAATCCGAGCGAGCAAAGATGGGGAGCACCCACGCCCCAGGTGCACCCAACTCCCCAGGAACACCCAACCTCCAGGTGCACCCAACCCCCCAGGAGCACCCAACCCCCCAGGAGCACCCACACACCAGGTGCACCC